CCCACACCCAGCCCAAGCAGGGAAGGCTCACCAGACCCCACATCGTGGAACAACGCACGGTCACCCAAAGAATGGCACAGTCAGAAAGTACACACACACAGTGAGGCTTCTCCAGCTCCTGCCTATTTGTGTGTGGGCATTTTCTGAGTCACGGAGGGGGTGCACACACCTGTGTGCAGCTCACAGCCCTCTCTACAAAGTGTATAGCAAAACACCAGCTGCCCTTCCTCCCTACAGCATCCATCAAACCCTCACATCTGCTACAGCTCTGCTTTTCTGGACACCTTCCTAGCTGGCTTCCCAGGCTTCCCACTTTACTCCTGGATATCATGAATTCCACTTGAACGCTTTTAACATGCCAAAACACTATTTCAATAATGGCTTCTCCAGAACTTTTTTTTAAATATAATTATTATTATGAATGTAATGTTTCCAAACAACATTCTTGATTGTCAGAATCAAACAGTATTGCTGTGATAACCCTGTAAGAACCCTATCTCCTCCTGCGTTACTGTTATCCTTACATTAGCTGGGAGATTTTGAGAAGAAACTGACTCTCAGAAGAATTTGGTGGAAACGAATCATTATCCACTGGGGCAAACTCAAAGCTAGCATCCCCTCTGGCCAGCCGATGGTTCAGGGGTTCACACCAACAGTTGGAGCTGTGGCTCGCCAGGATGTGTAGCTCTGTTCAAACTATACATGATGGTATTTGTGATGTGTTTGAATCAAATTGTTCCCACTCTGTGTTGGCTTTTTTTTTTTTTTTTTTTTTTTTGTAGTTATGCCAACAGTAGTCACAGCTGGGAAAAGAGAATTGCAGTTTACATCTTCGGTACAGAAAGTGTTTAAATATTTATCTGATACACAGCTCTGAAAGAGGCAGTACTAAGATCTGTTGCTGTGGGTATTGTGTCTGACACCTCTGTAGAACAGAGCGTGTTCTCATAAAAATGACTATTGCTAACATTTTGGCACTTTGTGACCAAAATGCTGAACCTGTCATCCAGCAGCACACACTATACATAAACCACAGCCTCGGCCATGGAGACCTTCTGACAGACCAAACACAGCAGGTAAAGAAATTAGTAGGTTAATCTCTTATTATTATGCTATTATTTAATACACATTATTATTATATATATAGCATACATCATCATTTGAATATATCACTTCTGCGAGAAGATGCAGAGCCAGAGCTCTCTCCTGTAGGTTACGGATTGAACCCCAAAGATCCTTTCAGATAACCTTGAGCAGTGCAAGTCAAATATGCAGCATAAAGTCCTTGTGAGTACTTTTTTCAGAGCAGGACTCTGAAGTTTCAGCCACAGCATGCAAAGCGTGAGACGGTTGTCATGAAAAACATTCCACGTTATAAACCACTATTCTAAAAGCACCAGAGATCGGGCCAGGAATCCAAGCCCTAAATGATATCAAGTGACTTATTATGCTATTTCCTTCAACCAAAGAAATTACATCTCGCAAGAAAAACCAAAACAGCTATCTGAAATTGAACAAATTCTATCTGGCAATTAAGCAGAAGGTAAAAGAGCAAAGAGAGGCTGCAAGGAAAGATGTGTTGGGTTTATCCTTTATACTGACACGCTGCTTCCCTCCCTGACAAGCTTGAGAAATATTGCTGTAATCATCGTATCATTATTTTTTTTGCCTTCCAGTAATTATGTCACTGTATAATTGAAGCTCCTGAAATTGATGTAAGCACAAGTCCATAAAACATAATAAAACCCACGGCTGGAACTTAAAGTAGTGAAAATCAGTCAAGAAATAAAAGCGCTGTTTTTCTTCCTTATCAGAATAATTGACAAGGTCTGAGGTAAGTTCTCCATCACTGGTTATCTTTTATCATGACGTTCTTCCACAAAATCAAGGCACAGACTCAGGGAAGCCCTACAGCCCGAATGAGGAGGGGGACAGTCAAACTGACTGCGATGATACTCTGACTTCATTCGCTAAGAGTAGGTTAAGTACCTGGAAAAACAGTCTAAGTCAAATACCTTACTTTGCAACAGCTAAATATTTGAAAGTTACCATAGTACCTCAGTATTCCCAAGATGTAACACAAGAGGACAGGAGAGGAACTTCTGAAATACAGCCTCCAAATGTGGTCACAGCAACGCCAGCCGCTCTGCCCTGGCAGAGAGACAGCGGCTACCTTCCACTGCAGCACAAGATAACAAAAATCCCAGGACACAAAGTCTCTCCTTCAGTTCCCTATCGAATTATTTGGCTCTTGATCCGAGCCAATAGCAAGCACAGAAATATGAACTGACAAACTGACCATCCCTGATCAGTGAGCAGCTCTCGCAGAGGATGTGTGACCAGGCAGAAAAAGCCCAGCAAGGACCACAGCACTCATCCAACCTCTCAGTGCACAAGCTGGGAAGGACATGATGCTGAGAAACTCAAGCCTGATCAATTTCCCACCACTGAGCCAGGGAGTGGATGGCTGGAGGAAGAAAAAATGGTGCTTTGCCTCTCAAAGAAGGTATTACATAAAGCGTCCAGAATATTTAGACGTTCCCATATGTTTCACTGTGACAATGGAACCTGTGGATAAGGCATCAATACCACAGGCACAGCAGAACGCAGTGCACCCCTGAAGAAACCTCTCTTCAGACAGACAGGATGAGCAGGGCGCTCGATGTGCTGAAGGCACGGCTCCATCAGCAGCATTACCTTCTGCAGGATACAGCAAAAAAATCCTTCTGCTGGATACACCAGCAAAAAAGGCAGCTCAGCTCCCTGCAGAACGCAGACTAATGGGTTGGGATGGTGAACATAAAGACGATCAGCCCACACATCTCCATCCTAACAAACTGATATGTACAGAGCCCTGTAAAGTCTCCTCCGAGAGCATCAGTTATACCACCCGTCTGATTTACATTTTTCAAGGAAATAATTGAAGTTGTTCAGCTTGCTCCAAAGGCCCAATGGGAAGGAGAAAATCCTCAAGATACCTATGTGGCAGCTTTGCAGCAGCATGAGACTAAACAAATGGAAAAACCTAAAATAGCTTGCGACAGTTTATCATTAATCAGTAGGAATTACTTGGCAGAATTCAGTATCTTTCAGTGCAACTTCATGGCACCTTTCCCAAAGAACTAATACAAACACGAGCACATAGCAAGAGATTCAGGGAATAGGGGAAAAGGGATGTCATCGCTGAGTAAGTTGCTGATGGCAAGAAACAAAAAATAACACTACATAGGGCAGCACCTGTGTGGCTGAAAAACATGACTGGCATGTTCCAGCTAATTCACTTGGCAAGCTTAAATTCACCACAGAAGGATCATAATCGTACTACAAAACACTGAAGCCTTCTGAACTGCCTCCTTGCAGTCAGACACCATTTCTTCAGCAATTTTATTTATTTCAGCATTTGCCCAGAATAGAGAAAATACTCAAAACCTTCCTCTTATAAAACTGCTCACCTATTCACAAAAGACCATTAGTGTAGAACATACGAAGGTATGAGGATAAGTAAGACAGGCATTATCTTTGTTTAGAGCCAGTGATAAAACTGTGAAACTACAAAACTGCCAACCCAGGCAACCTGCACCAGGCCTACAAAGAAGCCCTTGTGCTGGCAGGTTTTGGCAAGGGATCTAAGCACCAAACTATTCCATTTTTCTATATGAAACTATACGAACTATATGAAATAGTCTAATACTAAACGCAATTTACTCACAGGGTGTGTAAAGTGTGTACAATGATCCAAACTTACAGCAGTCAGCACAACTTTCCTGAACTCTGATTTGGACTCTCCAATAGCTACCAAAGAACTTTTGCTTCAACCTTCAGTATCGGTTCTCAGAGGCTGCATGGACTGCAGCAGATGCCTTGACTGTATATGGATATATGTATAATGTTTTAGTCCCCACTTATGATGATCTGTTGCATAAGACAGCTTTGCAGTTACATGTGCCAATATACACATAGCTCATTTACTCACTTCATGCAGATTTAAAAGGAAGAGACACGTTCTAATGCATTTCAAACCATCACTCCAATTGTTATTGTTTAAGATAAGAAGTTCCATAAATGACCAGACTGAAAACCTTGCATTTGCATGTCTAAAATCACACAACCTCAGACAAAGAAAGTAGCTAGAATCCGTAAAAAGAACCAGGCCAAAACAGTCCAGAACAGTTCCCACCCTGCTGGAATCACCCTCATTACTTTTGTCCAAACAATACACCTTCATATTCTTAAGAAGAATTTGAAAACTATGAGTGTGGGAAACAAACTGTAGCAGTGCTGTCATGCTCACACATACAAACCCAAGTTATGAGTGCTGACTGTATCTTAACATTTCCCACAGTTTACATCTCTAGAAGAGAAAGAACTTTTCTTGCATAAAAGTTTTAAAGATAAATCTGCAAACAAAATAAAATTGTTCTGATGTTTGAAAAGAACTGACTTTGATTAGTGAAAGAAAAAAAAATAATACAGAGAGGGCTTCGTGGCCATTACAATGCAAAACAGATTATCTCACATTTGCATTGCTCTGGTTGCTTCACACATTCCTCAATCATGTGAGGATGGCTATTACTACAAAATCTGGAGCTGTGTCAGAATGAGCTTTCCATGGACGGAGGACGCACAAAGTAGAAAGGGTTCATCATTACGAAAGCTCTGTGAAATAACAACAACAGTTGCAAATACCCTATCAGAGCTGTCCAGTTCCACAGCACGAAGACCAGATATCAAAAGTAACCTCTAACAACTGCACTTTGAATCAGCCTTGTCATCAGACTTCACACAGCGGTAACAAAGTTCACTCCATGCAAAGAGTAATGTTTCAACATTTCAGGTATTGCTCCTTCCAGGCACTGTAATAGATAAATATTTTAATCCACAGCAGTGCAAACTGCAGTTTAACTACTCTGATTTGTAGGAAATTCTCTGCTTAGGCCCTAACTTCAGTGAAGAAAAAAAGCAGTAAGATCTTTCTGTCATATCACAAACACTGAACTGACCTTCCATTGCTCCCTGGGAAGCAGTCTCACCACCACGATGTCACCATTCAGGGCTCTGTTGCGAGCAACCACTCCATCAATAAAGATATCGCGAGTCCCATCCTGGACAAAGAGGAAGAAAAAAAAATCAACGTTGGACCAAAGCGTATTAAGTTACAGTTGTTATGAGGTTTAAAACGCTGTCATCAACAAGGCACACCCGAGTGAGACAAACATCCTGCAGTCGAGCACAGGAGCAAAATGGATTCACCACATGCCCTTCAATATGCAACATCTTTCAGCAAATAAGCTCTTTGTGCTGTGCATGTGCCAGCACAGTAGTTGCACAGTATTTATCCAAGGCAGAGTCAAGCTCTCCAAGTATATTGTCTGCAAACTCTGCTCAGTTCCTCTGCAGTTACTCTTAGGAATGGGTAGAGAGCTCTCCGCAGCCACAGCTCTCCATGTATTCAGTTCCCAGTTGAAGCACCACAAAAGCTGTTGTTCAGATCACGTTTACAAGGCAGTCTCTGCAAAGTGCCCTGCGCAGAGCTGCCTGCTGCTGTCCTGCAGGAGGTGGGAAAGCAGGGCCAAGGGACCAGCGAGGCAGCCTGCGGAGGTGGCCTGGACAGAGGCTGGGGATGCAGTTCCTCTGAATGAAGAAACACGGTATATCCCACATTTGGCACAACCAATGTTAGAACAAATTCAGAAAGAAATGGGGACTACAGAAGCCAACTGTACGTTGCTGTACAGAAGCAAGCATGAGTATCATCTGCTGAAGCAGACGTGTTAGGACATCTTTTCTCAATACTCTTTGTTAACATCCTTGCACAAGAGCTTCTACTAATTGCAGACACTACAATCATGCACCCCAGACACGTTTGGCATTCTGCTAATCTAGATTTGGAGCAGATTTTCTTAATGGGGTGAATAAAGACAAAGTTTTCTGAAGATGCCAACGCAGATGTTTTAGTTTTAAGGTATTGCCAATTTTGTCCCTATTTTTGTCTAATTAGCTATAGCACTCTTGCTGCTTTCATTTCTATCCTCTCACAATTTATATTCTTCATATACCATGAACGCATGAAGGCAACAAACAACGTGAGCATTTAGTTTCAAGGTGAGCAGTGAGCAGACTTTTCCAACAGAGAGCTATCCTGTCATTTTGAAGTAGACACACACAAAAAAGAGGACGAGTTTCTTTAGAGCAAAACTTCATTGTCTTTCAATGAAAAGACTGCCTCACAGAAGTTAAACTCTCACTCACAACGTTAGTGGCTTCTCAGATACGCGCTCCCGAATCTCAAGTGCTCGAGTAAATCCAATCAGAACTACCAGCACAATCAGCCTCCAAGAAAAACTTTTTATAACCTGAAAACACGAGGCCTTAATATCACATAAATATCCTACTCTGCTTAGATACCAAAACAATGAAACGACAGAACCCTGCCGTGATGTGAAACCAAGGCTGTCCTCCAAGAGACCAAATTACTCTTAGAAAGAAAAGCAGCAGCAGCAGCTCAACAGCTGCGTGAAAGCTGCCTCCCATGACAAGATGCAGAAAAATTGCAGAGCCTCTTGGACCAACATAATTCAAATTGGAAGCTGTTCTTTTCAAAAAGCCAGATTTTTTACACATGGTCTTTTTCCTCATTCCTCCCCACCCTCTGCCTTCTGCCCAACCTCCTCACCTAAATCCACCACTTCATCAGAGTCATTTATTAAAGAAAATGCCCTTTTTTTTTGGTTGTCTGTACACGCAGCTGCTCTGTGCTGTGAGACACAGGCTGGCATTCAGGACAATTTGTTTATTCTGCACTTTTCTCCTGTCTTCCTTCTCCCCAAGGTTTTTAAGAGAAAGGCTCTGGGCCTTGCAACAAAGAGACAGACAGAACATGCACAGCAAGAAACACGCTGGGACTTCTGGTGTTAAAAGGTGAACAGCTGTTGCATTTGAACATCCATTGGCATTTGAAGCTGTAGCCAAGTGAGAGCTGCAAGCAGAGAGGCTGGTGCCCTAGCCAGCAGCAGAGGACATGGGGTGATTCTTCACAGCTGTAGCTCTTGCAGCATCTGGTAATGATGGGAAGCCCTGCAGAACACTAAGGCTGCAAACCCTCCTGCTACCCTCAATGGCAAATACAGTTACATGAAAGAGAAGTTCTTAAAGCATCTGTCAGAGCAAGAACAGTCCCACACCAGATCCATCTTCACCCAGGTGCTAATTCTGCTTGATACTAAGGAAAAAAATGGTTCTAGGATTCAGCCTCACAAGGGAAAGCAAAGTAGAAAGGTAAATAAGATAACCTCAGCTAACCCTCCTTTGCAGAGCAGCAAGCAGTATACTGCACAAGACACCAGGGATGATTAGAGGTAGAGCTTCACATCTGTTGAAACTCGCGTCAGTAGCTGGATTTTACATGTAACCTTGTATTTTGTAACTTCCAAGAAGAAAGGAATCACAGTTCCTTTCTCCCTTACAAGTTCAGTGTTACTTTACTGAGGTACCAGAGAGCTATTCCATACTTCTTCCTCTAATTCATAGCAAGAACCCACTTCATGCACCCTGAGCTTCAACCACGTCAGCCTCCTGCAATACAGAGGGCTGTGAAACATCATCTGCAATGAATAAAGTGAACTGACACTGCACACATTTCAAGGCTTTCAATCCAAGCTTCAACACATCACTGCTGTCAGTAGCAGGGACAAGAGTGTCAGCATTTCACTGCCTATCCCCTACAGCTACCAAACATTTCAATATGAAACTCTCTCACTGATAGTAACATTTTGGCCAAGTCAGACCCAGATAAAAAGCTTTAGCTGTACCATCTGTGAGGTCACCTTCCCAATTGGAAGTACTTTTAATTGCAAGAGCCCCTCTTTTGGGTGCACATAAAGAAAGAAGGGAGAAAAGGCACAAAGCAGTCCCACGTGACAGAAGCACATCCCAAGCCAACCAATATCCAGCTAGTGCAAAAGCGGGCACATGAAAAGGAATCATGCGTATTATTTCTGGAATGATTTTTCAAATTAGCTCATGCAGCAGATCGAGAAAGGAGAGCGTATTTGTTTAGGGAAGATTAACTTAAATCAGTGGAAAATCTATAAAACCTCTGTAGCCATGAACCAGGGGTTTACAATTACGCTATGTGGTGGTCCTCAAACCTGAGTTCAGCTGGCTTCTGTGGGACCCAGCAGTATCCCCAGCTTCAGCAGAAGCAAAGTCGGTTGTTCTTTGAAGGATAAAAAAGCAAGATTTGTTTGGGAGTATCTGATTTAAAAGTAAATCCAGATCATGTTCATTTATTCCAGCTCACTCACCTCTGAGTGACCTTTCATACACAGCATAACTCCTACATTAATGCACCTTTACTTATGAACTTCAGAGCATTTTAAAATTACACTTACTGGAGATGGAATGAAGGCTTCATGGTACTTCTTAGGATTTATTCTCAAGGGTCCCTTAAATTAAAAGAAAAAAAAAAGGAGACAGAGAAAGATTACGCCTGAATCTTATTAATTTTATATAACATCAGTTAAATTAGAGCTGCGGGTAATATATCTGCTGTGAAACATGAGAGATACATCCAAATTTCCATTATACATTTTAAGTCTTGACAACTTAGCATCCGAGAAATTTCTAGCCAAAAGGAAGCTTCATCATAGGCTTAAGCTGATCTACTGCAGTCTGTCACAGAGGAGATGTTGAATCATTGCTTGTTGCTGCTACTGCATGAACTGTGAATACAAGTCCTCCTGTTTCCTTCACACGTTTCCTGCAGAGCATCCACCAACTTCATTTAAAAAAAAAAAATGGACAATTGAAAGAATTTGTTTTGCTCTGCTTTGGAAAAGGAAAGCGTTGGCTTCACTTAATTTGGAGAAGAGAAAGAAGGAAAAGCTGACCTGCTGAGGTGCAACTGCGATTCCATCCCAAGAGGGTCCCAGGATCTGGGGTTCAGGTGGCTGCAGTTAAAGCTGACAGCACTTGATTCTTATGGAGCCACAGCCCTGTTAATTAGCTATCTGCTTTAACACAGGTGTTTGCCTTGTGCTGAAAAGTTTAAACTTCCTCCATTTGGGTATTTGAAACAAGGCTGGCCAATTTGTTACACGAACAGATTCCATCTGTTTGCACTTCTGTGTTAAGTAATCATAGAACTCTCTCCCAGGGATTGCCTCCTTAAAATTTACTGCACCATATAATTTTTATGTATTCTAGGAAACATTCAGACAAGAGGAAAATAAAGCTGATTACATGAGGAAGTTTTGCTGCCTTGAAAAGGAATTTGCAGATTTATGAAGGTTTTCCATTGTTTTTATTTGTTTGGGTTTGGAAACACTAGCACCATATATCCTATATTCCTTAGGCATTACCTGATTGCTTTGCTGTGACATCGTGTTGTGCCTTATAAAGCTAATATCAATGAGCACACCAGCCCCACGGCTAGCCAGTGACCAGGGACAACAGAAAGAAAAGCATGGGGATACTTCACAGAACTCTCAAGGGTCTTTTCCCCACTCATATCCCAGAAGCAGCCATCAAAACTAACACACCATCAGCAAAGGAAGCCGCTACAGAGAGAAAGGAAAAAAATAAAAGTGACGATTGCTCCACTTGATGATAAGTCAAATAATTCTCATACCCAGGATCTGCCCAACAGCACAAAGCAGATGAGGGGGTATCTCGAGTTACTCTGGAGAACCCTGTTGAACAGTGTGGGACAGCTGTCAATCAGGCAGGTGCAGATGCCCATCCTGAGCGTGAAAAATCCCTTTTTGTGCCCACGGCCCAGAAGGCGCCGAAGCGGCGACGTGTGCATGGACAGCCAGCTCAGGCAAACACACAGCAGTGTTACCATGCTTACAGTGCAACGGCTTTCTCTGCATTTTATATGCACTACCTAATTATGATCAGCATTAGAATTCTTACGTCAAGTAGCATTAAAATACTTCGGTTCTTTCCTCAAAGCAAGGAACTCCCAAAATTTATCTTAGAAAGCAGATGGGCCCTATTATCTGTGCCTATGAAAATCCTATTTACAATGTTGTACATTTCACGCTGTGATATCATATCTGGAACCAGTCTCTCTCCCCATCTGCAATGAACAACTGTTCTCATATGTGTATTAGGGGGTGAGGATCTGGCTGCAGAGTCTCATGATGTCACACGAATGTTGTATTATTTTACAATACCTCACAAATAATAGCTGCTATATTTATCAGTATTATTATGGCAGTAGAGCCTTTGTTTTGAGAAGGAAGATAGAGGTTTGGAGGAAGGTTTCTAAAACACTTTCTGACAATTTAAGTCAGCTTTGCACAGACTAGCCAAAAAAAGTTCCTAACTTTATTAAACTCCTCCAGCAAGATACAAAAAAGTTAGCATTTCTCAAGTTCTTCAGCTAGAACCAGACAGACAATACTCAGATGGTACTTCAAGGATCACAAGTCTAGCAGCTTGCAACAGTTATAACACCTACAGCTCACTTGGTCCATACATGTCAAACTAAAGGTCGGGATTCAAGTGCCTGCCTGCTACCAAGCCACCTTCGAGAAGACAGCCCATGAAAAGCAGGGGATCCCCAGCCTTCATACACACAAAGCAACAGCTCTCCAAATGAAAACACCCTCCAGGTGGCAAAGCAAGCTGAGTGCCTTTGTGCTGCGAGCTCTCGCTCCGCCTGACCCCAGCAGCCCTGCAGGGAGGGTCTGGGAGACGCTGGAGGCGTGGGGCAGACGTGAGGTTCTGGCTGGCGCTTCATCAGATGACCACGGTCCTTTGGGTCAACGCTCCTTAACACGTAACCTGACTTCATCTGTTGTGTATGGCCAACACCATCCGGTTACGTAACCGTGTAGAAGTTATTCAATCTTGTTTGCCTTCAGCCTCTGATTCCAGTCAACCTGATACGTTTGGTGTTTGCTCACTGCAGACAGCTTTATGGGTGTGGAAGCGGGAAGCGTGCACTCTCAAGCACCTGCACTCGGATCCTTTATCTTGTGGAAGGACACTTCTGCACCCGTCCCTTGATTAAATGAATCCAGGAATCCTGCAGGGCACAATTCTCCATGCTACTTACTGAAAACTGAATTATATCAGATACAGTACCAGAAGTCATTAAGGCTATTGCTACTGGCAGACATCAACGCCCATCAAGATACACTTTTGTCCTTCCTGATCTAGGACTGCTTAATCTTCATTGCACTCGTGTTTCATCTAAGAGATCTCCCACATCTGCCAGTAGTTTGTGCTTTCAGGCATATTTAGTTGCCCTGCTCCATTACCAGAGCCCAGCAGCATCCTTGGAGTTCACAGCAGGGTCTCTCCTTCCTACTAGATCTTGTGTTTTCCTGCCACCCACATCTGGCATTCCCCTACACCATCTTGGCACTCTCTCACTCAGAGCCATGTTTCTGACCAGCTAGCAATCAAGTTTCAATCTGAAAGAGGAGAGACTTAGACTGGATATAAGGAAAAAGTTTTTTTTACACTATGAGTGGTGAGGCACTGGCACAGGTTGCCCAGAGAGGCAATGGGCACCCCATCCCTACAGACACCTAGGGTCAGGCTGGACCTCTGAGCACCTGATGGAGCTGTAGGTGTCCCTGTTCAGTGTAAGGAGTTGGACCAGATGGCCTTTAAGGGTCCCTTCCAACTGAAATGATTCTGATTCCAAGTTTGCTCAGGACCATGAGGTTCAGACTGGTATGCATCTTCTCTTCTTCTGCAAGTTCTTACTGAGCATCTTTGAAGACCAAATTTGCATTAAGGGATTAACACAACATATTTGTTGACTGTGTCTCTTGCCACTACACAGAGCAGTGCTTAATATTATTTCATTCACTGAATTTCAGGATCTCACCTATTCCTCCTTGAAGGCAGTGATGAATGCTCTTGATGAGACAAGGATGAATGAGTCAAAAATGAGAGACGCTGAGTTGAAATGCTCATGATCTGACACTCAGCCTTAAGTGATTAAATCCAGATTGTACAGCCTGAGCTGTTTCCCTGAGACATGAGACTGGGTGAAAGGAAAACAGCTACAGCCTAAGAAAGCGTATGTGACTCTTTCAGTCACACAGCACATGACCCAGAGTAGACACTACGCACTTACAAGAACGAAGGACTGTTTTGCCAGATAGCATGTAATCACAGGCCTTCTGAGACTTGGCATTTTCGTGGAATTCTCAGGTACTGGCCATAGTCTGATGTGCCTCATCTGCAGCTGCAGTTGACCTCACCAAGAGTCTACACACTCTGCACTTAATGCTATCAGACAAAAAGGTAGGTGATGCCAACAGCAGCTTTGATGTATTGATGAAAATATCACAACCTTAACCAGCATTACAACAGCAACGCACCAGTGGGCGTCTGGGTAAACGATGCCTCAGTGTGAGTGACTGGAATGCCCTCACTGACTTCCACCTGCCTCTTCCTCAGCCAGGCTGACCTCACTGGGATGCTGGGTGTGTCCTCTGCATCACACCACAATGAGGACTGCATTACAGCTGCTACTGTATGACATTCTCCACTTCTGCATCTCAGCAAACCTCAGTCCTGCTTGCTTTCATGTACAACTCCTTCCACAATCCAGTTACCCACACATGTGGCAGGTCCACCCTACATCATGCCAGATACTGGAAGAACTGATGCCCAATTACAGCTCCAAATCTGCTGCTGCAAATGGCAGCACAAAGTCCAACCTTTGATTGATGGGCATAGAATCTGTAAAATGAGAACATGCTACCTGTTCAGGGCAAATAATTACAAATACTCAGGCGGCTGATTTTCTGTACAGTCCTGGGTTCTTGTGCTCCATCTAATATCTGTGCCTTACTTCACTAAGCCATGCTGTCATCGGAGGTTGGGCCAGCCCTACGTCCTTAAGGGAGCACAAAGAAAATCATGCAAGTAACTCAAGTTTCAGCACTGCTAGCTGGCTGCTTGATATTAATTTCTAGTTTATAACACTTTACTGTAATGCCTCCATAGGCACAGCCCTATGACACTTCAGGGACCACATCATTACCTGCATCTCTCCTGTGGTGGTTTTTTTTTTTTTTTTTATGGGAAGGAGACTTCTGGGAAGAGTTCACAGAGACAAATTAAAAGGAGATGAGTACAGCTGGATGAGAAGGCACTTGCACCTCATTGGTGAGAACTAACATCTGTCTTTGCGAAGAATTTTAGCAAGAAGCATCTTGCTAAGGGCATTCCTTTTCACTTACACTGACTAAGAAAGAGGCTGCCAGCACCTGCTGTGTTTCTGATTATCACTAGTAAAAGTAATTAAGACTCCACAAAAGTCACAATCATGGCTAGCAGACCATGCAACCCTGCAATTCGTGATTGTGGATCAGGAATTTTACAGTCAAACCAAAAACTGTACTGTAGCTGGATGTAAAAAGTTTCATTCCATTTCTAAAATGTCCAGAGAAAGCATTTACAAGGCGTACATCAATGCCTTGCCAAGCAATTAACTGATACTGACTTCTAACAACTGCCTGTGATTTCCACAGATTTAGCACAACAGCATTGTATGTTCCAGGCACCTGAATAAGCTCTCTCCTTTTCAGTCCTGCTGAAACATCTTCCTTTGACATGTAGGCTTCAAATATACTCTTCTTCTTCCCTCGAGCAGGCTTATTTCGATTCTTTCTGTCACCAGATGTTGGGACAGCAGCATAGGGTCCTCCTGCAAACAGAAATTAATAAATGTTACCTTGCCCACCGAATTTGTCTGTGTATCTATGTAACAGCAGCTCTACAGATGCTCTGTACTGGAAGTTGAACTTTCGGAAAGGATTTGCCTAGAAATACTGGCACCCAGCTTCAGAGCACTGAAAATCCTGGATTGATCATATTTTACAAATAATTAACAGCTTTTACAGCTCATTTTAGAGTTAAGAGCATTCATCCCAGCCCATCTTTTAATAGCACTTAGCACATGCTTCAAGGCAGCTTATTCCTGAAGCGTGTACGCGCTCTGCTTTAATACCTCTGGGAGTTCCCAGTTGTCTAGGATTTATTCTGCTGTCTGAATTGCTCATTGTTTCTGTCTGCGATTCAGAAAGTTGTCTCTTCCTATCGAAGTTCTGGGGAGCTCTCGCGGATTCTGAGTTGTTTCTGGTCCTTGCAAACCCTCTCTTTTCTGCACCTGAAATCAAACACAAGTTTGAAATAGCAGGGGGGGGGGGAAGGGGAGGGTGAGGAAAGACCTCAGTGCCAGCTCATGGTCCTGGTGAAGCTCATGGTCTGCAGTGCCTCAATACCAGTCACAACTGTGAGTCATGCTCTTTATCCAAAAGAAATGATGTCTTCATTAGCTCATTTGTAATCTGTTGGCTCTTCGTGCCTCTTAATCCACCACTAACTTACTTTAGCATAAACGGAACTCTGGAAATTACGATCCTAAAGTTGGATACAACCCTTCCAAAATCCTGGGAAATTCATTAGAGCATATGAAATGTGAAATTGTTAAGCAGCTTCCAAAGCCCCTACCTCCACCCCAGTAAGCCCCCAGATAAATAGTGAGAAAATATAACTTCTCTGCAACTTGCATTTAAAATAAAGTAGTTCAGGGACAAAGAAAAAGAATCACAACAACCCACCCTGGACTAATGAACTTTTTTTGCTACCAGAGGCAGCATTGCACACAATGGCACTGCCAAGGAATGCCAAGGCTCCAAACGCCCAGCCTGCTCAGAATAGGTCACGATCATACAAAAATATTCTGCAAAGACTCACCCCTTCCTTCCCTGCCATCACCTCAGACCCTTCCCTACAGCCAGGAGAGCAAGCAGCAGCTTCCAAAGCGTATGCCAACGCTGTTCCACGGATCAGCACATTGGAATGCAACCCAGCGCCGTGCAGCTGCCCTCTTGGCCCTCCACCTGGATACTGAACATGTCATCACAGCTTTGCCTTCCAGCCCCTCCTGGCTACGCTCCCTGGGTCCAAGCTTGTACCTGCAAGTCAGAAAATGTGCAATGCCAACTTATTTGCTATGGGGCTGTCCAAGTTACAAGGTAATTAAAAAAAATACAATATCCTTCACAAACTAAATTGGAAATTGCTTTATGGAATTAAACTTAAGCAGTGGCAAGAAAAGGAGGAGTCTGAGGGAAGCTTCAGCTGCAAAACAACAAGCACAACTGCAGACTGAGATTTCCACAGATGCAGGAGAGGCAGTGCTACCTGTACAGACCCAATTATAAGGAACTAAAATTACCTGATTTGCAAATGCCCTAAGGGTCAAAAGATTAAGTTTGATAGCAAGACACTTAAAATATGGGCTAAAGAACTGAGCAGCAAAGCATTCGAACTGGCAGCACCGCTGGTCCCGGATAAGCTGTTCAGGCACTTCCAAGAAGGAATTTTACCTGGATTGCAACAAGAGAAGTGGGGTCTTAAGAAAGCTATTTAAGAAGAGAGGTGCGAGGCTGTTCACCAGAGGGGTCATGCCATCTGCCTTGATGCAGGTTCTTAAAAATAGGTGCGACAGATGTCTGTCAGAGCTGCTCCAGGAGTAGTTTTTTCCTTGAGGTAGTGCAATGGGTTACACGAGCTCCTGAGGTCCTCTAAAGCCCTCGTTTCTATGGCAGCAAGTCACAGAAAATACTACAATGAATTAAAGAGCTCAGGATAAAAAGGAGGCTAGATCTCAACATGTAATTAAGCTGGGGAAAAAAAAGCAGAAAATCAAAATGCAGCAAAAAGAGCACAACTATCTGTAAGTCTGGAAGCGAGGTGAGAGCCAGAATCGGCCATGGTGGAGCAGAGCTGCCCCAGCACTCACCACAGCTGTTACATCAGCAAGTCCTGGGCCACAACTGCCCAAATTCATGCACAGCAACAGCAGCAGACGAGAAGCACCTTCCATGCAAGGCAGATACCAGAGGCACTCACACACTTCCAACACTCGAGTCTTTGGTTCGCTCTCCAGCAGTCTTTTTCATCCGCTCAGACTTGGACACAAATTCAGAGAAACAATTTACTCAAATGAACAAAGTGTGCTTCAACGTAGCTGGCTTGCAAGCCAGTCTGCACACAGACACTTTGGATAAATGTCTGACCGTGTTGACCTTGACATTTCTGGCTAAACAAAACCACTGCTGTTATAAAGCCACAGACAACTGTCACAATTAGCGCTCAACTGGAACGTGCCTGATTCTGCATGAGTGTAATTTCTTGAGTTTCTCTTTTTAAGGGAGAGAGAAAACCACAGGTTGCCATCTGTTTCAGCTACACTCAGCATTTGCCTCTTTTACACACCTGTCCCTCAAAACTTCTGGAAGACAGAAACATTTCCCATAAGCTTTCCTGCTGCCTTGGTTGATGAGCGTTAATACTCTAATGGACAAACAGACAATATCCTATAAAGCAAACCACAACCTGCAAAACTCTATAGCTAGCATGGGGTATATTCAGAATATCCCAGATTGCAGATATAACTGCAATCACAGAATTAATTAAACTATACCAACAGCAGGTGTGGCAAGAGCTTTCACTTTCCTGTGTTGCTACAGACGCATGATTTGTAAGATTAAATCTTCTAGGATAAGGAGCAACATGCAGATGTCACACAAAGTATAATGCATTCTAGGCATTCAAATACTCAGTGACTTAATAAATAAAATAAAAAAACCTGCAGCAGAAGGGAGACTAAAGTGCAGTGGGGAAAAAAAAAAATAATCAGATTCCTGGAATAATTGATCTGCCTTACAGTACGAAAGGAGGTTAGATGTTTTAAATCAGCTTATTTCAACATAATTCACAGAAAACCAACATAGCTTATGTTTGGAAAAGTCCTGCATTTCATTAAATTTGTATCTATTAGTCAGTTGATCAACTAGATGGACACCTAAATCAACAAATATGGTCAACTAATCATGAACTTAGCAAGGCCAAAGTCTCTGATTTTTATACTAAAATTTGCATATTGGATAATATAAGAAAGGACCAAGATCCTAAATTTGACTGACTAAAAATAAAACATTTTCAGTTTGCACGCTAACACGTGACAAGCTATTTGGCTCCTACCAGCAGAGAAGGGCCGTACCTCTTACTGAATTGTCATCAGCACACGTGTGACTCCTTGGACACCACGGAGTTATAGAATGGCTCAGGTTGGAAGGGACCTCAAAGATCATCTCATTCCAACCCCCTGCCATGGGCTGGGTTGCCAACCACTCAGGCACCAGTCCAGGCTGACCCAGGCCCCGTTCAACCCAGCCCTGAATACCTCTCTGCTCCCTCTCCTGCCAAAGGACATTTACCAGACCACTCGGCACTTCAGCCTCCAGCTGAGCTTCCAGCTGTGTCCCCATCTGTGCGGTTTGTACCTACCCCAGCTCCCCTGATGCAGGCAGAACCACAACAACTGGCTCCTACCTGGGCACCGTAGCTCCAGGGATCTCACACCACTGACAGCCACCCCAACACAGCTCCTTTTTCTCAAAAGAATTGAAAGGAACTATAACCTTATGAACTTTTTTCAACACTAAGTACTTCCTTCTACTAATTACCATTACCAGCCCACAACCGGGCATCAGGCCTTCTGCTGGCTCTGCTATTGCTAAAGGGATTTTTCCCAGTGCTTCCCAGCATTAGATCACGATCTAGATGTGCAAAGGAATCTTTCAAATACCACTGCTTATCCAGTTAGCGTAAGCGTGAAGAGAAACAGAAGCACATCCCCAGAACTGATAAAGCGCAATAGAACAATTTGTTATCAGCTAACGAGACACTCTCAACACATGCTTACCAAATATTTGCCCCTATTCCTACCACCTTTCACTTTATTGCTGACACATTTCAATGACCTAAGCCAATTTCCTCCAAACCTTCCAAGAGGTTCCCTGACATTTAGTTCCTCACGACAGCCCAGCTATGCACTCACTACACCACAGAGGATACACCCATGGACCAGAAGGCACGGCAGCTACCAGCCCGTGAACGACCCATCCCAAGGGAACAATTGTCAGCTCGAGGGATGCGGTTTCTGGCTGGTAGCTCCAGCTAGGCACACAGCTAATGTTGATGTGGTTGTACCAGGCAACTGGCTCATTTGTTTCTCCAAAGTCAAATAAACTCTTCTAACAGAAGCATACTTTGCCAGCAGAAGCTGTGTTAACATCAGGCAGGTTTTGCTAGGATCCCCATGTCTTCCCCTCTCGTGGTCTAAAATAGGCGATGGAGTGGCTATTTGATACGTTCTGCTGTTTGGGAGCTTCTGAAAATTTCATCTCAAAAATCAAAAGCTGAAACGCTTGTTATATTGTTTTTAATTCCTAATGCACCAGTGACATTCAGTATGTGCCATAATACAAAAGTGACTAACAAGAACTCTAAGCACTTCAATGACTACTCTAATATGTAGGATCAAGTTACTGCACACAAGCAAAAACAACAAACGCCAGCAAAGCCGTCTCAAATACGAGCAGTGACAATAAAAAGCTGGTCGTAGACAGGTCACAAGTAACTAGCTATTTATGTTTTCAAAAATATTTGGTGGATTTAAGAGATTAAATGTCCCACTAATGGTAACAGCCAAGTACTTTTTCTGTTCTATTTTGTTTTAGAAGGAAAAACAGAGACAGCTGTTGGTGTAGCTGTTCAGAGAAAGAGTTCTGTACCAAGAAGAAAAAGGATACTCCTTGGAAGATAGCTCAAGCAGAATCCTGTGCTCGTGGCTCAGGAACACAAGCAGGACCAAATCCCATCTCCCATGCTGCCCATGAGCTCAGCTCCATGGCAGCCTGTGCTGGGAGCTTCAGCAGGAATCCCGTGAGTTCAGAACTCAGGGCCGCAAAACAGAAACGTCTCAAATGCATTTTACAGTATCTCAGAGCAAACAGGTTAAATAAAGTAGATGGCCTGAGATTAAGGACAAAGCAATCGAGAGAAATAAGGATGTCACAGGAAAGAATTCATTAGAAATTTAGGAATGGAAAGGCAAGACATAGAGATATGTTATCAGTTCATTGCGGCTTCACTGCTGCAGAGATAAGTCTGGCAGGCAGTACTTCAGATGTTCAACCCGTGGTCTAAGAAAAAGTCTGAGAGCACGTTCTCCTTATCACAAGAAAATAAAAAAGATTCTTTTCTGATGAAACAAACTCAAATAATCCCTAACTGAAGGTTCTGCCACACCCC